CCTGCCCCTGCCTTTCTGTCTCTGGAATAAATCTGTGTCAAGTCTTCCCAGCCTTCTGAAATCAGGGCAGTTCCCCGATTTCTAGTTCAGCGAGTGGGAGTTTGAGCACAGTCCGAGCTTCAACAAAAAAAATCTTGATAATCTCCAGCTGAATTTATGCTAGTCTCTAAATGGGCTCAGTTCAGTATCTACTTAATTTCTTCATTAGGGCTACTAGTAGTTTGGAGACCCCCCCACCCACCCTTTTTTTGGTCAAAATCAAATAAAATATTCCCCAAAGTTCTGTGGATTCAATCCAGATTCCCACTGAATCTCGGCTGGGAGGGCCAACGCCTTTTCAGTGAGCAAAGCTGCACTGAGATGTTTCAGTGAGGAAGTGGCACTGGACACGCCGTTCTTGGGAAATGGGGCACAGCTTTTGTTTCGTCAATAGGTAAAATTTTCCTTTTATGATTGCTCTGCATTGAACTGTCACGCTCTATGCTTTTAGGCTGCAAATCTGAAGTGCTGTTTGCTTGGTATTGTTCTATCTCCAGCAGCACTGTGAACTTCACGCTCTGTTACGTGAGGCTGAGGTACAAACCAGGGTCTAATCTGAGTGGGCACTTAGCCATGTCTGCAGTTTCTGGGCAAGTCAACTTGAAAATGCCTCTCCAAGAACTTCAGGGCAGCTCTAGAACTACAGATTTCCAGATGTGGTAAAGTACTGAATAAAGATACCTCCTTTTTTGCTTTACACTGCTAAGAAACCTTGCCCCAGCACGATCCACTTACCCATGCCAAGATTTTCAATGTGGTAAAGATCAGTTTTAGGTGTTCAAGTTTTGGTTCCACTCCGTGTCCACAAAACCATCATTCTTCCTGTCTGACTCCTTTGATGCCCACACTTCTGTATCTGAATTCCTGTCTCCATAATCTTTTAAGTGCCACTTAATGCATCGTGCCTACTTATGCAAATATCCGAGGAGGTGAAACAGAACATGAAGTGAAAATTACAAGTATAATCTTTTCCGGGAATTCATGTTTTCACTGAAACATTAAGTAATAACGGAGTGTCTTTTAACTGTGGTTATACAAGGCATACTTGAGAAGTACCAGCCACCCAGGCAGTTCAAACATTAACTTTCTAAACAGTCAGATATCAAATTTAATTAAACAACCTTTTCCTGCGTCACTCTTCAGTCTAGCAACTATTTTACTCCCCCAGGTTTCAGCTTAAACCCCTTAGAACAAAGTGAGTCTGTAAGGCAGAAAGCAGTTATTGCAAATAATCGTACTTGCAAATGTCTTTTCTGCCTCTTGACACAAAGAGCTCTCAATTCGCTGAATTCCATTGAGGGCTTATTATCTGCACTCCGAACACATCACAGTGGGAACCAAGACCCGTTGGGACCCCTGTTGCCTAATGCACAGTAGAATATGGCAAGTGCACACCACGGCCTGGGGCACTGGGGATGCATGAATTAGTAAGAGAAACACTACTGGAAAGGGAAATCTGGGGAAAATAGAATACTGCCATTTGGATGGAGGAGGAGGAGGGAGAAGTGCATGTTTCCACGGCAACAAGTGGTAGACTAAATTGGCTGGGAGCACGAAATACGGGAAATACACTTCTCAGAAGCAGCAATGCACAAAAATGAATACTTGAATCTGTACTCATGCTACTGTCAGTCAATAATAAACCTGAAGTCAGTGGACTTGCACTGCCATAAAAGTAGAATCAGGCCCAAAAGATATAACAGAATTCCTGTCTCTCTTTTGAGATGGAATGAGTGGGAAAGTGAAGAAAAATAGGGATTTTAACTTTGACTGCATAAACACTCATCAGCATGATAGCAGAGGTGGTTTTCTCAGCAGGTTCACAACTACTGTTGAAATGTATTACAATCAGAACCATTTAAAAAATACAGCGATTTTAAGAAAACATTATTCTTTTGTCTCCCCATTTTTGAAGTTACCTAGGCACTATTATTGGGTATATTTTGCACATTGTATATGACAGCACAGCTTTCCCTCCAGAGTACAGAGCTAGGATTTCTTAGCTGTGGGACTGAGGCAATTTGCTAGACAGCTATAGACTATCAAATCCCTACAAACATGCTGAAAAATATTAATCTTGAAAGCAACTGCCTGTTTACTTGCCATTCTTATGCAGACAGCCACTGAATCTGCCTGTACTGTTCTTTTGTGCTAAAGTACAGGTCTATAGCCCGATGGTACATGTGGATTCATAACTGAGCCGGCAAGTCCCATTGCTGTTATCAAAGTGTTGCTAGTACAGCAGCAGCAGCAGCAATGTCCTCTTATCTGCATAGATAGTGGCAAAATCATACAGAAAACAAACATTTTTATTGGATCCCACTTCCCGGTCAGTGCTGCACACCTGAACACTTAGCAGTATGTTCCTTAGCTGTAAACTTCCAAGTTGTCACAAAGAGACTATGCTGCACAAGTACCAGTAAAATAAGTGGATTTAAAGACCTCAAAATTTCATACAGGATTTTCATTCTGCCCAGTCTGGTTACATTTCCACACTACTGCCACATGTTTGCTCTGAGTGAGGACTCTGGGTTGGTCTGGGTTTTGTGGGGTGAGACCTAGTCAGAAACTCCAGAGGGATATCTCTAGGGCTTTGACTCTTTGACCTTTGCCAGTACACATAATTACTACTCTTTTTTTTCTCTGTTTTTTTTTTTTTTTTTTTGGACATGTACTTACTTATCCTGGTGTAAATATTTTCCTGCATGCATCCACCACCTGAGCTTGTTTGCACGGTCATGTTCTATTCTGGTAGATGAGTTAAGAGCAGAGCTGAGCTCTGCCAGTGCACATATGTGCTGGAAGTTGTGTGGGAGATTGCTCCCAATCTGTTTTGCCATTCCTGGCTATTCCAGCAATCTCTCCACCGTCTGTTCCCTGAAATGCACTGAATCTTCCACGTTCCAGGAAGAAGGGGCTAAATGCAAGTCTGTCTTCCAGCACTTGGAACAAAGATGGCTTTTAGCCATCCTTTAGACATTACCAATGAGACCAATAGCCTGCACCACAGATTGCTCTGTAAGACCACAGCAGACAGTATGGAGGCTTCCTTCTCTGCATTTACCTATAGACACTACGTTTCCTAGCTTCTAGTAATGAGCAGCCCTTTTTTTCACTAGTAGAGCAGTTTCCTTTTTAAGTCCTTGTACTGACACTTGACTTTAGGTACGCCTCCTTTAAAATAATTCTTCAGGCTCATTAGTAAGCAAGCTACATGGTAAATGAAAAGAAAGGGATAAATCTTCTAGTTATACCACCTGAAGCTGTAACTTCATTTGACCTTTGGCACTAAGAGAAGTCAGGCTGTATTGAAAAGAGATGTGACCTAGGCATTTCAGCAATATGAGGCTGGATATGAGATAATCTTCTCACTCAGTGAATACTCTGTGATGGTCCAACTTGGTTTTAGGGATGGAGTGGGGTGGAAACCATTATTTGCGTATTTTAGAGCCATAAAATAAGTCTCCTGACCTATGAAGACATTTCATGAGCAATAGACTGGCCAAAATACTGGAATAACAGTATCAGAGTGCAGCTTGTAATATTTCTCTGAAATGAATACACAAGGCTTTGCAAGGTCAAGATTATCAAGGCCACAGTCAAGGTCCATGATGCTTTCCTTTCTAAGACGATGGGTATTAAAGTGGCACACCTATGACTTCTGCCTGTAACTCTTGGAACTTAATGTAAATTGTAATGTGATATTTTCTACTTGTATGGGATGTACATGGTTTTTGTGTCAGGGACTGTCATCTGCTCTGTCTTGTGCTGTCACTGGCACAATGCGCCGTTATCCTTTGGGTGTAAAGCACTACCATGCTACAAAGCATAACCAGCAACCACTGAGGCTGGAGGAAGGTGATTATTCCATCTCCAGCATTGCAGGAGCATCATGAAGTGCACCCAAATCTCATCTCAGCAGCTTGTTTCTTAGCTGAGAGCAAGTGTGGTGATGGCAGTGATGTTTTCCTCTGTAAACTCTGGTCCATTAGGACTTGTGCTCTGATCCATATGTGTGTTTCTCATTCCCTGTCCCCTGAGGTAAAGTTTAATCAAATGCACACACATGAATGAGCTAGCCTAAATATCAATAAATGTTTCTTTCAGGAGAGGCTTGAGATACTTAATATTTAATAAGCCTTGAAAATGAACTTCTGTTCACGTTTCTCATTTTGATTCCAAGCATTTTGGCGGCAAGCAGTGCTCACTGTCCCAGCGTGGGCAGGCGCAGCACAGATTATTTGACAATCCACTTTGTCTCATCTAAAATATTCATGTTTGCAGATATCTAAATGTAGCTCTTAAAAAAAATACATAGAAAAACCAAACGGTGCAGCCTGAGCCTAAATGTTACCTTAAATCCTTGCTTTAGGCTGCACACCACAGCAATGCTATTTCTCTCATAGCTCTACCCTGTTGCCCTGGTTACTGATCAAAACCAGACCATCCCTGCCGTCCCTGCGGCTGGACTTACACAAACATGTGTAAGCAATGTGAGCGCAATGCTTCTTCCTCGAAGCAGAAATACAGCCACCAATCCATACAGCAGCTTTCCCTTATTCATGTAAATATGCAGCTGTAACAATGGCCTTTATCCTCAAATTCAGCTAGCAGTGACAAAGCAAAATCAGGTTAATAAACAATTACATTATTTTTGTTAAAGCATTAGCCTTCTTGGAGAACCTCAAAATCTTGATTACATCAGCAGAGCTGCAGGTAGATTTGGCAGAATTTTGCCTCCCACATTAACTTTTGTCTTGTTTTCTACTGAAATCAAGGGAATCCTGACTGAAGAGGGAGTTAGGATTTTTTTCATGTGACTGAGCTGAAAACGTGCAATATTAGTTTGTGTATGATTCACTGCAGGAAATGGGCTTGGGGGTGCGTGACAATGTCTCATCTGACAGTACTCAGAGGACAATCCATCGTAAAGGGAGGTTCCTCCCTGTTCTTAGACTTACTTTGAGAGTTTCATTTCAATTTGCTGCCGGATTTCCTGTCTTTCCTCATCCGTCCTCCTTGGGAAAATATTCCTGTCTTCCAGCTCCTGCTTGCTTGGTCTGTTTCGTAGCTTTACTGCCAGCAGTTCTTTCTTGCATTTTCTTGGCAAAGTACCTGGGACATGCATTGAAAAGAAAGTTATTAGAAAGACAGCTCCTGGGGGTGAAACATGAACATACAAAGAGTGGGAAACCTACAGAGTGACAGTGATCTGTATGTTAGTGTGCAATGAGCAGTTGTACACATTAATATAAGTAAGTAGCACTACAGTCATGCAGGGCTCAGACACAAAACTGCTTACAAATGCAGAAGGATCATATTCCTCTGTTATCTTTTGTTATCCATTATAAGCAAGCAGTGCTCTCAGGTGAAAATTATTTGCAGCTGAGACATGATTCATGTCACTAGTTTAGAAGTCAAAGGCTGTGCATTTTGCTTCAGTCCTCTGAGCAACCCTGTAGCCCAGAGCAATCCCTATTTCCTGAACCATATAGTTGTTCCTTTGTAGGAGGACAGGGTTGCTCAGTGGCAGAAGTGGCCAGGACATGTACACCAGGTATAAGCAGGAATAGATAATGGTTAACTGAAACAATCAAAGTTGTAGTTTGGCATGTGTGTATATATGCACACACAGACACAGACACACATATATATAAATATATATGTACAAATGTTACTCTGTTTTTCTGGCATTAGCAATTAGAAAATCAGAATTGTGATCAGACACCATGTGTAACTAGCACTAAATGTAAGCCATTACGTATGTCTGCATCCTGTCCACTGTGACAGTGTGTCACAACAGAATATCATTTAGCAGTCAATAATATACTGTTGACATTAGACCTTTCCCTCTGAAGAGAGCGGGGGCAAATATTCCGTGAAATGAAAGAAAAGGCCAGGTTTTATGATGATTTGCAGAATGCTGGCAACTTAATTGGGCATTCGGGCAATAAGAGACACAAATACTTACTGTGATTGCATGACCTGTTGTGCTTATTGTGAAAATATGATAACACATGTTTTCCATCAAACTAGACAACCTAAAACATTGCCATTACAAAAGAACTGTTCGTAGGAGAATGTGCAGCAACTGTTTTTGAGTAGGAGTCTACTGCTCTTCAGTGTGCTGGATGCTGAGTCCTTGATGCTGCCCCTCTGATGACATTAGAAATGTCATTTCACTCTTACTAGAGGGAACTGTGTTTGAGCTTTGTATTTCTGTATCTCTGGTGTAACTCTTCAGACTTCAGCAGGCTGAACAAATGAAAATTGGACTCCTGAGCTTATAAAACCATTTTGCCATGTGTTTGGAAAGGTATGCAGTCAAATGGCTGTGAAGGGAAAAGCCATCTTTATTTTCAAATGCAGACTGAAATCTGAGGTGATGTCCACATTTGATGAGGGGTAGCTTGCTTATGATGGGGTGGAAAGGAAGAGGGAAGTGCTATTAAAACCAGTGGGCTGCTGCGTCATAGTGTTAGGAGTGCAGTCTTTCAGCAATCATGTCACAGGTAAGTTGTAGGCAAAAAAAATTACACCAGATCTCTGCACACCTCTACTGGGCTGTACTGGTGTCTCTGGTGTCCAGCCCAGGGCTTCAGCAGAGTCTGAAAATCATCATTACAGAGTAGCACTGGTCAGATTGAGTTTAGAGTATTGTCAAGGTACGTAGGAACTCCAGTTAAATCTTTGTTTGCTTCATCTTGAGAGCATGGTGCGTAATAGGAGGTTATTTTGTTTTGGTTCCTCTTTACTTTAAAGGTGTTTTTTCTTTTTAATTTAATGCTTCACCTTTTCTAGAAAAGGTCATCTCATTTTTAAAGAAAATGACATTTAATTGGTATTTTTGTTTGGCATTTGAGATAGGATTAAAGTATATTTTTTAAAGGATGCTCTAGAGGTTGGCAAGGTTCTAAATCCTAAATAGAGTCTCATTCCCAAATATTGGGATTTTATTTGCTAGGGATCTGTGGACCTACATTATTATTATCACTATCGATCTCTAATTTCTTTATGCAGAGGGAGGGAGGAGCCTATACCACATCCACACGTACCTGTTGGGAAGACTGGGGCAGAGAGTGGTCTCCCTGAGCAGGGACAAGTCTCTTGATAGTTGCAGTGTTCTAAAATTAAACTTTTAGAAACCATAATCAGCTCAAAACCCCACTTAAAATCTAAAAGCTGTGCCCTTGTTTAGCACTTTCCTCCTAAGGCTTTCAAAGTCTGTTGCAAACATTAATTAAATTAAACCACACAGCCCTCTGTGAAGTAATAGGTATACATTTAACAGATGGATAAAGAAGTTAAATGATTTGGCTGATGCCACACAGAGCCTTCTGCTAACTGAATATATGGCTCCATCAGAAACATTTGGCTCACAAAGCCACAGACTTGGGACTTTGTCAAGGTTTTTCAAGCTTCCACCACACTGGGAGTGGGTGCAGAGTGGGCGTTCGCAGTGCTCGATCTCTACAGCACAGGAACCAACAGAATTCCTTCTGGAAACAATCTGAAGCACATTTGGGGCTAGTAAACTCCTGGGTATCCCTGAACATTTAAACAGTATCCCTGAGACTTTAAACAGGCGGTAAGAGGAATTTGGTCATGTCACGAGATTGCTGCGAAGAGACTGCACGTGCACACTGAGCCCAATGCCTCCAGAACATGATAGACACAGTGCCCATGTGCTGGCCATCTGCACAGTGCATTTGCAGTGCATCCTGAGGGCACTGAAAGCAATATATGTACACACTATACAGCACATGCATATGTCTCTGCCCAGAACTGCTTAGAAGGAAACAAGGGAGCTCTACATGTGTAGTAAACACTTTTTTTTGGAGATGCACCCTAAACAGTTACTCTCCCATTCACTGGTGACAGCTAAGGTATGAGTATGCAGGACTATCCCTCTTTCCTTCAGGCTGTAATAAAACTACTTGCCATACCATACTATACCTCATCTTTGAATTGTGGGAGGGCAAGGGCTAGAATCACAGTGATTCTTTGTTCAGATGAGGTCAGGGCTCATTTTCTGCTGTCCCTCATCTCACTGAAGGCCAGCTGAAACCAACGCTCTGCACTTAAAAGACTGGACCTTTTTGCAAGAAGTGAGGTTTTGAAACCTATGTGGAGACATTGGCTTAAGCTAGCTCAGTGTATGCCCTAGAGGCTTGTATTTCAAAGTGAGATGGAACAATGCAGTATTTTGCTTGAAACAAAGTAAAATGAAGCTGATTTCAGGGCCTTGGCTGCTCCCAGGCTGCTCTGCTGCACACTTAGAAAGAGTCTACTACTTTGTGAAATGAAAACCACAAATCATATCTGAAAAATCTCAACTTTAACCCAAATCCTGCTCTTGTATTAGAGGAGTGGAGAGCATATAACCCACTCAGGATAAGCTGTGCTCACTTCATCCAGATGTCTGGATTTCTAAAAGGCTTATGCTATAGCCACTCCCACGGTCCATATGCACTGGGCACTGATTAATCTTTAGGGTATTTCACCAAATAAAAATGCAAGAGATCTGGATTTAGCTGATCTGCTAGTCTAAGGAGCCATTCCCCATGCCTGACCGATTGGGTTAATTCCTGAAAAATAGTACCTGCCTGACAAAGTGAAAAGAGGGAGATTATGTTACCCCCTTCAGGAAGACAGGCTGGGAAACACTGTGTAGTTCATCTGTTTTCATCTTGACCGGCCAACTGATGGCCAGTTCTGTTATTCCACCTGCTGCAGAAACCCATATCTGAAGTTTTGGAATTAATAAGCAAATAAATAAAACAAAACCAGAGGACAAAGAGGAAATAAAGCCCCAAACTAGTTTTCCCCGCATCCATTTTCAGCAGCCTGAAGCAAGTTCCTTCCTGATTACCATCAAAGTAGAAACTGAACTTGCAAATACCCTTATTTAAGTATTTTCTTCCTAAGGGTTATTTTTCCTGGTCAGTAAGGCATGTTCAATGCTGGTCTGCCCCATAACCAAGCTATCTCAGGCAGGATCTTGGCTGTGGCTTGTTTCATGATTTATGGCAGCTCAGCTAGGTCAACAATAAATGCTTTGAAAATTCACACCCTTTTCATGTTTGGTCTGCAGGTTCCTGACAAAAGTTTCTGGTTTAATTCAGTTGAATCATGACATTTAATTTCCTGTATGTTTACTGTTCTTTCTATCAAGCAAAAGGCAAATCCTAATACTGCATGCTGATGGAAAAATCTTGCTTGCACTAGTTACCAGTTGTAGGCTACATGCTAGTTATGTTATTTTTTCAGCTTGTGCACAAGACTACTGTCTTGCCTTGTGTTTTTAGAGGTTTCAAAGAATGATTTATCGAGTAGGGTGCTAATGGAAAGCCAAAGTACAATTCCTCACTTTTTCCAGAGTTACCTGTGACCCATACCAATCTCCCTGTAACCATGGGGCTGTTGCACTGATGCACTCACAAAGAGGAAATAAAGCCCCAAACTAGTAACCTGTTACTAGTAACTAGTAACCCTGTAACCATGGGGCTGTTGCACTGATGCACTGTTCTGCATCACAGTAGCAATGGCAAAGTTGGTGATGTATTAAGGCAGTACACTAACTGTAAAGCAACTTCGGATTAATGGATAGCTTTACCTCCTGACTTGCAAACCAGCCCAGGTTTTTTCAACTAGAAAGAATCTGGAGCTTTTCAGGGAATTATTCTGGTGCTATCCGTGTCACTACTGCATCTCTCGTTCCTATCTGAAATGCAGACGGGTGCATTTGAATGAATGCTGGCACAAGCAGTGCCACCCAGCGTCAAGACCAGAAATGCCTTGCTGATGTCCCAGCTTGTGCTGAGTAAATGAGTAGTGGTCACATCCCTACAGCTGTTGTCTCCTCCAGGGCTGAGGTTATATCACTCCACACCGGGACTTCTGTGGTTTGAGCAGCTGTGTTGCGCAGCTTGCCTAGTACCTGTCCACGGCAGCCTCCCTAGACACCAAACAGTTGAAACTTTGTGTGGCCTGGGTTTTTGTTGTGCCCCTAAAAAGTGTCTGAACTTAAACACTGGCAGAGCAAGCGCCAGGCCTGTACAAGAAATAAGGTCTTTTGGAAATGCACGCTTACAGCCTGCAAGAACAAGGCAGTCCACAATGATCTTCAGCCCTTTTAAATAAAACAGTCTTATGCATAAAGCTCGAGTCTTAGATGACTTGGGTAAGTCTTAGGGGTGTGCAGAACGGGCTTCTTGGTGCAGAGACTGAAGTTTAGGTGTGAAGAGACTTGAATGCCAAAGAGTGAGGTAAGTTAATTATGAGGAAGAAGGCTGTGTAGCTACAAAGAAAGAAATTATTCCTAAAAATTATTTTTGTTAAAGTTGGAAAGTGTTTTGCATGGGAAAAGGTGTTGTATTCATATCTGGGGCCTCATTATCAAATCATAAACCATCTATCTTTGCTCTCTTTGCCCTTGGTGTACATCTGCAGGTAAATACTAATCTGTACATAATCACCGTGCTACCTAGTTTCTTAAGGAATCTTTGCGTTTTCAGCCTTTCAGGTAAGGCATCTAACTGGCTGTCTACATATCTACACACGCACTTCTATTACTAGCACACCATCACAAGAACTGGGGAAGCAAGTCTGTATGTGATTATGGCCCTTGACACTTTAAATTTGGGCTGTTAATCTTATTCACTAAAATATTCAAGAATGTATCAACCATACCTCATTATATTCACTAATCTGTCCTATAAGCTTTTCCATCCATCTTTTACATCTTTGTAGTACTCGCATGTTATTCAAAAATGTATTTAATAATTTTTCTATTATCAGATATTATTTTTCTAAATTTCTAGCAGGCATGCCTTAATACAAGTCATAATACATGACCGATCATGCCCAATACAAAAGCCAATGAATGAAGTAAGATTTATACATACACATCATATTTTCTTAAATCAAGTTATATAGTTAAGGGGAAAAAGTTTTCTGTTCAGTCTGATTGCTTTTTATTTCATTTTGTGTAGCCAATATTTCAAGTGGCAGATTTCAATATCTTCTATGCTGAGCAGCAGTATAGTTGCAGCTACAATAAAGCCAAAATATCTTTGAAAGAGGTCTGTTTTTCTCACCATCTCAGTTGGTCTAATATTGCCCTATAAAACTTGCTGCATTTAAACCATTCTTAAGCCATCACTAATACAACAGCAGTGGTGTTCAACTGTAGTAAGCATTAATTTTTCAGAACTCTACCACTTACTGTAGAAAGCCAAGAGCTGCTTCTAGATATCACTGAAATTTGTGCAATCACCAATGCTGTTCTATCGTCATAATTTCTGTCTTCACAGACAGTGAATAATTATTTTTAAATATACAGAGTATTCATCTTCAACAGTAAAGTATTCAGATTTGTTTTTACTAATGGGGGATAACATATTTTTTGCCTGGCTGCCTCTAGCTCTTAGAATTTATACCAAAGGAGACAACTTTTATAATCAGGAACAACATATAGTCAGAAAAAACAGATAGAACTTAAAAGGTAATTTTTATTTTTTAAGTTATCCATAAATGCACAGCAATTATGCAAGGGATTCTCTTTTCTTTTGTCTTATTTCAGTGGTCTATTCTGTTACTAGATGTCTTAAGACAGAGAAGCAGAACTCGTGTCCTGTCTGCTGGTTCACTTTCTAATAGGCACCTTTTAAAATTCATCCTTGACCTGTTATAACAATTTTTTTTTGATTAATTTTTCTCTGCCTGCCTTCTTTTAATGCATTGATGAAGAGATTGAAGGATTGCTTTCAGACTGAATATTTGTCTTGCTTACATGGTAAACATTAAAAGTGTGAATGAAAAATAAATTTTCTCATAAGAGCTGATTATGTTGCCAAAGCCCACTTAAATAATCGCTCAGGATTATACAGTGCATTCCCCATATGTCTCAAGAAAGGGTGAAATGGACCAAATAAGAGCAACTTTCTGCTTGATGATATTTTCTCTGGATGTTTGTCTTTCCTAGATTCATTGGTCTCTTCCACTTTTCGCTGTACCATAACTGCACTGGAATAATAGTCCTGCAATGGGATGCTTCCAAAACATCCACAGCATTGCCACCAGGTATACAGAAGGCTTTGCCTACTGACAGTGAGATGTGTCTGCAAGAGCTGCTGTTCATAGGTAGTAGTACAACGAACACATAAGTAACTGAAAGGGTAAAGCAGACTGGTACATTGACTTATTAACATAACTCTAAACATCATCTTAGTATGCAGTACCTACCAAGACATGATCACAATCACTATGACTCAAATTTAACTTTAGCTTTTCACCAGGATTCCTTGAAAAAGTTGATGTGACAATAGAGTTTATACTGTTCAATATTTTCTGTTGCATGCTGCCTTGTTTAGAGCATTCCATTAGGCTACGATGGTATATCTTTATAATACAATAAGTGACTTTCCTTACCAGAAATAACTGAGTCATTCAAAACTTCCTCATCCTGATAAAAAACAGAGTCTTCCTTGAGCTCTGAGTTCATGATCATGTTTTCTTTGTTCTCATCTGACTCTTTAACTGAGTTCCGCTTGTTTTCTGAATCACTGCTGTAACTCAGTGAGTTCTCCTTTTCTTTGTTGCGCTCAATGCTAGATGTTCTGGATGGACGGACATCCACTCGTTTTTTTGGAGAGCCTTTGCTTTCTCTTCCATGGAAGCTGTGGGTGGAAGGTGCACAGCCCAGTTTTTACAAAAGACCATTTTATTTCCACAGTAGGAACTTATCGTTATATGAGAATGATCAGAATATCTTGTAGCTTATAAAGGCCAGGGCAGAGAGTTCAACATGGGACAATGCAGGATGGCATTCTCAAGACTGTTGAGAATGGCTAATGTGGATCTAATTTCCTATCGCTGTCATAAAAATAAGGTATGGAAGAATGGTGACTAATGTATTTTTTTGATATATAGCCACATGCTATACTGTACTGATTAAAAAACACACAGCACGTCCTTCTAATGTAAAACATACATGGCATGAAATATTAATATTCTGATATTTTATGATCATGACAAGTGTTTAACAGGGCCTGGAAATAATATTGTATGAATCTATTCCCCATGACAGTAGCTGTTACGGAATTGAGAAATGTTACCAACTTAACTCCAAAGCTCTGTGAGGGAAAAGGTTATCTCTGTCCTCCTCTAATACACAGGAGGGCTTACAACAAAAATAAAAGTACCCAGTGTGCTCCCACACAAGCATTTGTGTTAAAAATGGATACTGTATATGCCCAGGTATAAGCCAAGAGGCATATACCGAAATAGTAGTATTTCTCATATGAAGAGTACTGATATTTAGAGCAGGATATGCCTTAGCTACTCTAACCTGATATCCTGTGGTGAGATTTTCTTTTGCAATAGGTCAAGATTATCAAATGATTCTACCTATTTGAAAACCCACTTCCATGTCACAGTAGCCTCCTGATAAAGGAACAACATACTTCGAAGTAACTGCCGAATTAAGCACTTTAACTGGGGTTGCATGTTCAAAGTAGCAACATCAAGAGGAAGGCAAACCCAAGCTGTAGGAGTAAACGAAATGCTAATAACAGGGTAGAAACATTTACCAAGAAAAATGATTTAATGGAATGACTCTCCTCATGCACCCATATAGCCAAGAGGCTGTGGTACCTGTCCTGCCGGTGTTTGGTGGCCAGAGCCCTGTGGAGTTCTTCAATGACTCTGCTAGGAGGTAAAGGCAGGTGGACGGCAGCCAGGTGAGGGGAACCGGTTGGCGTTGTTACCTGTCCTCTGACATGGGGATCTGAACTTTTCTGGCCAGAGGGATGGAAGAGGGCAGCTTGTCCTGAGATTTGGGAGGAACCAACAATGACATAATTCTTCAGGATGGTGGAAGGAGGAGATTTCATGGCTGGGTCATCTATTTCACTTCCCGCTGTCAAAACACAAGAGGGTAAGAGGTTATGCAATGCTTCCTTTTAAGCCAAGTATCTATCTGAATTCAAAAGGCTCATTACTATAAAGACTCAGATCTTTGATCTAGTAAAACAGATGCCTCTCCCCATTTCCCCTCTTTCCCACAGTATCAGATTCTCCTTTTTCTCAGACCACCAATGCATTCTTGATTGCCAGCACTGTTCCTCCAAACCACTGATGACTTGTACTGCGGTGGCTTTCCAATCTAGCACTTTCTCTGCTGGACTCTGGCAGACTGTATTAAAATTCATGCACTTTGGTTCGCAGTCAGGACAAAATGTACCAATGTCTATTATCTGCTCCTCTGTGATTGCTGCACAGCTTAGACCTCTTTCTTTCATATGCCAGTTGAGGAAATGCCAAAATCATTATAATATGAGGATAATGTTTACATAACAAAACTTGCCAAATAAAATCCAAATGAGAGACGTGGTATGGAGCACTAAGAAGAAAAAAGAAGGGTGGGGCAATCTAATCTTTTTTTACCCCTAGATTCAGGTATTTTTTATGCAGTATAAGCATTTTGTTAGAAATTAGGGTTGATATATACAGTTCTCTAGCACCTGAGTCCAAAACACAATAGACATTTCCCTGGTTGTAAATTTGGTAGTTTCACACTCTTAAGGTAACTGAAGATCTGGCCTGAAAAAGATGCTGCTTAGTTTTTCTGTTCTGCATTTCTTTTCCCCTTTCCCTTATATCTTCGTCCCAAGCTTCTGGTATATGACAGTGTTTATACCAATAGCTCAGTCTGGGTAAAAAGGCAGTGAGAGTCCTTCATACAAGAGTATTTCTTTTCTCTTGTTGCCACCTAGTGTTTTAAACAGGAATTTAAACGGACACAGCTTGTACAGCTTTTGTACAAACTTGTTTTCACAGATCATTTTTACTTTTTTCACTTTTGAGATAAATCCTTCAGTTCATAGCAGAGAAAAACTTCTGCTCAGGCCAGGATTATCCTGAAATACTCATGTAAAAAGGACTTGGTTGGTTCCTATTAGCAGGATCACTTACTAGAAAACTGGAGAGGACAAGAGTAGGTTTGAATACTAACTTCAGTTATTAACTATTTCCTCTCAGACCCGGCATCCTCCATAACTGTTACCAACTTACATGCCTTTTCTTAAGTTCACTGCTGGAAATCTGGTACAGCTCTGTAAGGGTAGTGCTGCAAACAGAGCTGGGCATCTGGAGATTGGAAGGCAGAACTACTGAGAACAGCAAAAGCGTAAGTGGGAAAAAGAGCTCCTGTAGCCATAACCAAAATCAAACACCGAAAATTTGAGTGGCAACACGAAGCCTGGTATCTTTCACATTTGTGGGGTAAGGAGGAGAGCATCCTTCAATGAGGACAGTTGCATCCACAATAAAATCTCTGTCATTCAAAGAAAGGTCTAACTTTTTTTTTTTGTTCATTTTTGGAAGACATTTTTGCACATTTCTCTCCCTCCAACCCTGAACCCTAAGCAATTGCCAGAGCTTCATTCATGTCTCTGTGCATCCAGAAGACAGGAGTCAAGCTAGTCCAAAAGTTACCCTATTTAAAATCTGTAATGTCTGAAAGCACACAGGCATTTCTTCAGGTGTCTAGGTGCCCAACGTGCAATATCTTGGCAATGAGACACCTTCCCAGCCAGGAGCTCCTCCTTGCACTGATCAGGATGGTTGCTGCGGCCAGCAGACAGCCAACCTCTGCTAAGCAAAGATGGGTTTTTTCCACTCAAGGGGGTTTTGATTATGTGCTGAGGAGATACACGGAGGACATTTATGATCAATCTTTGCCCACTGAATCATGGCTTGAGGGGATGAAAAAAACACCTTTTAAGTCACTTTATACTGCTGCACAGTGAAAGAAGGTGTCCGTGTTTTTTTCAGAGCAAGAACCCCGGGTTCAGCTCAACCCTAAAGCAGGAAAGGAGGAGACTTTGTTTTATCTTTATACCTGCTTGTTCCTGGAATGGGTCAAGGGCCAATTTTGTCCTCACTGCAGCTTGGGCCAATATTCAGAGTTGAGAGTTTCCTTAGATCACACCTTATTTGTCCTAATGACAGCTGTTCAGTGAATAATCTTGCAAAGTGATGTCTTGGCACATTGCCCTGTTCCCCCTCTCTCTGTGATTAATTGGTTACTGGCTTATTCCTCACTCTGCTAACAGCATCTCTAACATTGTTAAGGGGGAAAAAACTAAACACAAAAAAAAGCTTTTCAATCTCTTAATCTTCCTTTTCTTTCATAATCCCATTTGTATTCCCTTTCACTCATTAACAGTATTTGTTTAGTCTTAATTTACCACTGCCTCCACATCCACACAAAAATAAACACATGTGTAATCACTTGAAAAAGGGTCTATAGTTATTGAAGTAATTGAGAAAATGAAGAGTTGTTCTTTGTGGAAAATTTAGATGACAATGAAATACCAAAGCTCAGGATATCTTTGGGGTTAGAGGAAATACTTTGGTTAAGCAGCAAAATATCTAGACTCAGAATGCTGTGAAGTGTCTGGTGGAGCTGTAATCTCATTACCCTCTATGGGTCAGGTTTTCCAAATAGCTTACATCTCATGCACAGCATGGCCTTCTCATCAGTTGAGCAAAGTCAGCGCGGTGTCCTGGTTGTGCCTGTTCATGTTGCAAGGTGGAAGGGGCAGGCTAGTGCCTGACCATAGCACAGACTGTTGAAGCTGTCTGAGCAGTCTGAGCTTTGTGATACCATTTTCAACCCACCTTCCACTTAAATTCTTACAGCTTTTAAGCATGGACAAAATATGGATATTTTCTATGGGAAACAAATACCTGTAATTTTCCTCAAAAAAGATGGAAAACCTCAATACTTTCTGTGAACTCCAGTGGTCAGCTCACAATGCCCCTCCGATACTTTGTTTCCCAGTGACTTTGAAAACCCTATTCATTGTTCCAGTAGTTGAGTGTGGATGCAAATCAGGGCTGAGATAATGGCTGTCATTTAAAGTCTAAATATCCAACAGGTCTGACATTTACATGTCAGGACTTGATTCTAATTTGCAATAAGGCCCTTTTAACTGCTTTTACCATATGTAGGGGCCCTAAAATTGGAACAAACTAAAATCATATTCACTTTAACACCCTTCTGCAGTGCCAGAATGTTGGAAAATGTAACAACATTGGCAATACATTAGAAAATCAGGCCCAGAGGAATTGCTCTTGAAACACTCAATGAAGTCTGGCACGGAGGACAGCTTTGTGGGAGCCAGGTGTATCACTTATGTGTGTTCTGTGTAACTAGACCAGATCTCATAGCTCTAGTTTAGACCTACCCTAGAGAGCAAACCCTTCAGACAGGAACCTCTGCAGAACCTATTGACTGGAACTTGATTTTGGCTGTTGTACTGTTATCCAGCAGGAGTCTAGGTAATGAAAACATTTAAATCTTCCCTGTGTTTTATGGCATATCAATATGAGCATCTGATTCAGCAGATGTTTGCAGTTGGTTTGATTTGTTTTACATGTGTTTAGTGCAAGAGACTCGCAACAAATAATCCCCCGAGAGATTCAGATAAATACGTGAAGTACAAAGATCAGTGCATTGTTATCAGGCAGCCGGGCCACTCAGTTCATGGAAATCATTAGCATTCTCTTCACTCAATATAACTAGCCTGATTCACAGCAGTTTCTGGCAATAGGCTTAAAAAATGATGTAAGAAAAAAATCATATGCTGTGCTGTGTAGGCGAACAACACGTAAGGGATGGGAAAGTCTTTACTGACCAGTAATGACTGACCTGTTACGCTCTTTGTGATTTTGGAGATTGCCTTAGGTGGTGGAGTTGGGAGCAACGGAGGGCTGGGAAGCTGTGCTGGGTTTCTTTCTGTCTGTTTCTGGGGGGAATCTGTGGATTCAGATGCAAGTAAGGCTTGTGGACTGTCTTCAGATGCTGGCAGGCTGGCATCTTCTGAAACTTCCGTGGGTGCTGAAGGTTTCTTGGCTAGTAGGAAGATGAGTAAAATTAATGGAACATGAAGTTAATAATAATGATAGGCCAGGGGACAATGCCAGGAACATTCAGAAAAACAGAACACATGGCACACAGCTAGAAGCACTTCTTTGCCATAGTGAAAATAATTACTGTGTGAAATAGCCAACCAGCTGAGGCAGGTGAAGAATAAAATGTATAAGGATATTGGAAAAAATGTTAGTTTTGATGTTCCTGAGAAAACTGCTGAGCTTCCCTTACTTCCCTAAAGCCTTTTTCCCTGTCCTTTTTTTTTTTTTTTTTTTAATAATGAAGACAGCAAGGCAAAGCAACTTTTGAGAACTGCAATGATTTTTTTTACAGCATGCAGCTGCAGTGGCACAGCTACTGAGTACTCTGCTGTGCTAGGAACACACAGCCAAAGGGCAAAGAGTATCAAACCATGAAACTGACTTTCCAGTTGTTTGTTGTATGTGTTTATTTTCACAATTTAATTTTTGTCTTATTTAATACATGACTTCAACTTGCATCCCAAGTCTTCTCTTACTGTACCTGACTAGAACTGTTGAGTCTTTCCTGAAGATAAAGTTGATAACTAAGAAAAGCCTGCTGTAAAAAAGATTTGCTATTGGATCTCAGTAGGTAGTGTGGAACAGAGAATTGGTGAAATACTTAAGAAAAACTTCAGTCACCAAAGCCTTAATTTGAGATGGTGAAGAAGTTCTCATTTCAGGATTGTCTCCTGAAAGATGGCAAAAGCACTTAGCTCTTAATGTTAGTG